CCTTAATCATAATATATACAGAGAATTAAAAAATTTGGTGTGAAAGAATGGGAAGATTAAACATCTTAATCAGCTCAGGTTTTAAATCAACAAATTAAATAAACATCGTTAAATAATTATATTTTGTAATTAATGGTTGGTGATTACTTTCATTGTCAGAAAATAAAAGTTCCTAAATGAGGTATTCTGACTATTTTTTTTTTTAAATGATTTCAACTTTTTAAGTACATAATGTATTTTTTTTCTTTTACGGTGTTTTTAGAATAAGTTTTTCTCTGATAAAAACTTTAAATTCTTTAAAATTTTTAAACCATGATTATTTAGAAAAAAAAGGTTTGTCATTAGCTAAGATTTGTCTGTCTGGATCAAAACTTTTTTTTTTAATTTTATTTCCAGAAAGTCTCCCCCCCCCTTTTTTTATTTTGATCCTTTACTTTTGATTTTAAATTTATATTTTATTTTACATGAAAATCCCATTTACGATGTAAGATATCATTATTTTTTTGTCTCTTTCTACTTGAAATTCAAATTAATTGGCTATCCTTGTGTGTGTCACTATGTTTTTCACCTTTGTTTCGAACTTACTTACTTGTCCTTTGTTTGCACCTCGCATCGCATACAAGAGCAAACTGTTGTTGGAGCGATAACAATCATCGCAGAGCATAATTACGGTATTTGCCACAATTAGACGGCCAATTATATGCGCACAGTGTATCCAACCTGGCGCTCTCTTGCACTTGTTGGCAGACCCTTATCTTGATCTTCGCGGCCGCGGAATAAATTTCGTGAGAGCAGACTTTGAAAATGATGAACCGAGGCGCCGCGTGTTTTGCATCGCAAATTCTTTCCGCGTCGCGTTCTTATATAATAAGTAACTTCAACAACAAGTTATTCTCCACCATTATTGAATCATTTAAAAATGTAGGAAAAATCAGTATTCAAATTTTCATTAAAAAAAATGATTGAATAATTCAAATAATATAGTGATTAAGTTAACTTAAAATGTTCGTTCTATTTAAAATAAAAAAAAATAAAATTGTTTGGAAAATTATTATTTTAATTTTTTATTATGTGATAATTCTAACAGTAAACAATAATATTTTAAATAAATTAATTAATTTACATTTAATTTTAATTTTAACATTTGAATTCTTTTTCAAATGTTGAACTGTGCAAAAGTTTTTAAAATAAATTTCATTATTTAAGTTAAAATATTTTGTTTATGCTTGTGACCAAGAAGGATTATTCATTTGATTTATAAGATTGTTCCGAGGTTTATTATGATTGCCTTGTTGTATCGGCTGTTAATTTTTAAATTCCTTTAAAAAGATAAATTTGCCAAAACTAAATATTCATATGGATTTGATCTCGACTGAACTTTTGAATAACTTCTCATTCCACTGCAAGATAAGTTGGAAATTTCCACGCGAAATTTTATTTTCCTTCTGCTTGTGAAAGAAAAGGCACAAAAAGAAGTAACGCAATTTTAATTGCGGCGGAACGGTTCTGCTTCGAGAAAAGTGCGTTACTTTTTTCCTTTTTTATTCTCCCTCACGCCGCCTTTTCCTTCTTGAATTTCGCCGCAATGAAGGTGGCAGTAATAATTCCAGCCCGAACCTGAAAGAGAGAAAAAGCAGCGGGCTCGTTATTTCTGAGCACCGCACACGCTCCTCTTCTCGCTCACTTCGGGACCGAAATTACTTTCCGCGCCGCAATTATAGAGAGGATAAAAATGTCAAGCCCGAATTTCTCCAGAACAGGGAGAGATGCAAATTCGGCTCCGCCCCGGAAAAGGAGGGAAATTTCTCTCTCTCCCGATAAATTGTTAATAAAAGTTTACGAGCGCTCGCGTGATTTTTATCCGCCGCGGTAATTGCCTTTTTCTTCTCCACACAATCACAAAAAATTTCAAGCAAACTATTATTTTTATCGAGTCGTATAAATTAAGCAGGCGTCACTCTTTTTCTAATGAGAGCGGCCGCGCTCGAGCGCTTTAATTCAATGAGGCGTTGATTGGCCTTTATTATTTTATTATTATTGCACCGGTCATTAAAATGCAAACGATGGAAATAACGAATGCACGCACACATATATGCAGATGGAGATTTGTGATAGGTCTATTCGCCCGACGAGCAAATGCCGCGCGCCTATTATGTTTCATTATCCAAGAGTGCTGCGCTCGTAAATTGGACATTATGCGCTCGCTCTATCTCCGACACTCGCGGGCAGTGCGAAAAATAATAATTTACATTTGAAGAAGTCAAGTGAGAGACTAAAAATATAAAATTTGATTTAACTTAATTAAATGACAATTAGCCCAAAATTTACATTTATTTGCTTCACATTTATTGTTGGTAAAAATTAATTTTTTTTATCGAATAAGAAGTGTGGAAAAAAAGTAGAAAAGCGTGCAAATAATTCCAGTTAATAATTTTTTTAAATTATTTTTAAATAAAATTGATAAAATATTTACACAATTAAGGTAATTTTAAATTGAAAATAAAAATCTTATATTATCTTTTTTATGCTAAATTTTCATCCTATAGTAATCATTTCCCCATTTAAATATTTTCCCTTTTGAAGTAATTCAATCTTTCATTTTGCATTAATAAATAAAAAAAAAAATTCATAAATAACATTCAGGAAGCATCAGTTGTTAATATTTTTCTAGTTTCAATAAGAAATATATGTCAATATTGAGGAAAACTATTATAAGGTTTATTGTATTAACTGTATTGAATTCTCCAAGAAATTATGTTTTAAAAATTGTTCTTACTATTATTTTGTCATTTTTTGGTGATCTCAAAAAATTTTAATAACGCTTGGTTCAAAATTATGAAAAAAAAAAAAATCATTCCACCAAGTTTTTGACTTTTACATTTTTCAGCAAGGAATTTACCCTTGTCATGGACAAACATGAGTTTTCACTTAGAATTTTTTACGTTTCGTCATATTAATTAAGCTGCCGCACGCACCACCGAGTTTACCTGCGCCAACTCATTACTCTGGCCAAATACATAATCCAATTAGGTGCGTCAGTGCAGCCGATGCTGCTTCACTGCCCCCGGTATTACTTCTTCTTCGTACTCCTTTTCCACACCTGCACTCGAGTAGTGCGTGAACGTTTCGACCTTGCAGGACAAGTCTTTTAATTGCACTCGCCACACACCCCAGCAAGCGCACGAACACGAATGCACAGTTTGTACAAACATAAATTTACATGCGGAGCTGCGCGATCGACCCCGTCTGTATATATGCGTGATGTATTAAATAATCATGTTCCAGTGCCGGTCACTCGTCCAAAATAATCCGAACGAACGGACAACGCCCTTAGCTGAGAGGGTGCGTCCATCCAATAACCCTAGACCGACCGTCCGTCACCCCCGACGACGCCTCCCAATCAACCCTTGATTAGCCCTCGAGCGAATTTAACCTGCTGCAGGCTTGGCGCAAAATCAAATTTGGTCCGAGCAGGGGTCGTGTAATCTAAGCGCGCGTGTTTCCACCCCACCGAGGGGTGGGATTTGCTATATCCTGCAAGTGCGATGATGGATTGCGAAATTGATGATGGAGCATGTTGCTGCCGAGAGATTTTTTTCTAATTTTCGGTGCTGCAGACTTTCGAGCGCGTAATTATAATTTCGACCCTTGCGCTCGCTCGCTCGGCTCGCATAAAAATCGATCGGCCGCGGTTATTTCCGGCGGCTCTCCTCCGTGCCGAAACTCGATCGGACGGACAGAGAGAGGCTTTAACGACCTGCACGCAGAAATAAGTGTCACCGGAAAGCATAAAAAACTGGCGTAAATCATAATTAGTGAAGCGTCGTGAGGTCAAGAGATGATGCCTTGTCATTTGTGTCCTAAATACATAGCATTTTTTGTGCAAATTTCATTGGTTTGTTCAATTAATATTACTGAATCGTTTGGTGTTTGGTTTTATTATTATAATAGAGTAGAAGCAGTATTTATTGATTAGTTTACAACCAATTAAAGATGAGAAATCATGAATTTTTAAATTAGTTCTATTGAGATACTTTGAATATATAAAAATTTTGGAATTGATTTCAAGAAGAAATGATAGATCAGTAAATTTATTTGTCAAATAATGATAATAATTAAATATTTTATTTTTAATATAAATATAATTTATAAAAATTAAAAAAAAGCGGAGAAAATCATTTAATTTTAACCTTAATTATTAAAATGTGATATAAACTTTTTAATAATTATTCAATTAACTTTGTAAACAAAACAGATCAATTAACTTGCTAAACACTCTCTTGATTTGCAACTTGCTTATTTTGAACTAAAATAATAAATTTATCAATTGAATCTATCATTTTATCAATATTTAATTCATTAATATGACAATCCTGTAAACAAAAATCTGAAGTATGTTGATGTATATTTAAATTAAATTAGATTTTCTCATCAAGAACATCCGACATTAATGCATTTTTAAACTAATTTCAAGCAATCAAACGAATTCTCAAAATACTTATTTGAATTGCCTTAAAAACAAAATATTTAACATTAATCTGCAGGAAAATCTTTTAGCTTCTGTACCTTGAAAGAACCAATTAACTCGTAAAATCTTGTTTGTGTATAACCATGTTAAATTTTTGTATAACCAAATTCCCAAAATTCTCTCTCGTCCCGGAGCGAACATTTTAAGTTTCCTGGGCTAATTTCGCGTGTATATGTTGCTCTTCTCATTTATGAACCATAAAAGCTGCAGAAATTTGCTCTCAAGAGCACTAATAAGTCGGCGAACCCTGGCGAACATTTCGCCACTCTGTATAATGAACGTAAAAATATCATCAGCCCCTCGCTTAATGGCCACTTGGGCCGCCGTTACGCCGTTCAAATTGGATTTTGGCAAATTTTCAATGCGGCGCTGTCGAAATATATGATCGGCTTTATTGGTGTGACGCGCGATATAAATAAAAAAGTCGCATGTGAAAAAAAAACTAATGGTTTTCTGATTTTCTTTGTTGCAGGTATGCTTGCCCCCTCGATATTACCCCAACGAAGTCAAGTCTGCGCCAACATCGCCAGTTACGCAATCAGAGGTACAGAGACACCCTCTTTTTATATATAACTGTCTGGATGTTTTCCATTTTTGGTTTCAAACTGACTGAGCTGCCAGATTCAAAAGCTGCGCCAAAATTCCAGACAGAAAAAAATTATTCAAAATTATTTAAGGTGTCTCATCAGGAACGAAAGTCCAATCTAAATTTTTAGAAGGTCATATAATTTTATTTTTTCATCTTAATCAGGATGATGTAGAGAAATTTTCATAAAATTTAGCTGGGCAGATTTCGAGCAAAAAAGTCTTGTAAAAGCTGTAAATTTTCAAACTGAATTCCCGAGACTGATCAAAAACTATCGTACGGAAATTACTTGATATACATTTTTTTTTATAATAAATGACAATTTTTTATTAAAATCACTCTCGCAAATTTTCAGTTGATGAGACTTATTAGAAAATTTAGGAATTTGTGTTCAGAATTTTGGCCTGGAAAATTCTACCAATTTAGGAAAGAACCAATGCTCAAAATTACCTCGTGAAAAATGAAATCTGGCAGCCCCGAAATAATTATACTTGTGCAGAACCCCCAATTTATTTTCAACCAACCACAAACGCAGCATGCAATTCTGCTTTTTATTAACAAAGTGAACTTTGAATGTGCGGCCGCACTTCAATTACCGTGTCCGTCCGATCGCAATCAACTTTTTTTCAAAAGGCCCCCCAGCGGTCCATCCATGTAACTTATTTACATAAAAGATCGCACAAACACGCCCTGCATCAGCGTAATTAAAGCGAACGAGTCGCCACTGCGCAAAAAAAATATAATAAAAATTCTGACTGGATCAAACGGCTGGTCTTGCTATGTATATTTTGCAAGCGCGTATTTTTACGCTGAATTCGGCCGAGTGGGTCGCACTGAGCTTGCGTGCGCGCCCATTCAGCCAGGCCGGCCGGCTTGCGGCTCTGATCAATACATGCGTCGCCCATGCACCCGAAGCAAAAGTGTAACGAACGACCAGGCGCAAACACTCGCACAGGACAGTCCAGATTTATCTAATTATAAAATGGAGGGAAATATTAATAATATAAATATAATTTAAGGGAAGTTTTTCTTTCTGGATTACAAAATATTTATCTTTTAATATTATATATTTGCCGGAATTTAACAAATATGGACACGTAATACCCCGGAATGGACAGAAATACATGCATAATTCAAAATATTTATATTATTCACATTATTAGCCGGCGTGTAACAAACACGGAAACGTTCAAATGATACAGAGATCATCGAAATTGTCAGAGTTTTCTAATTAAAGAGTAAAGAGGGTGTAATATTCAAAATATTTAATTTTACCATTATTTGCTGGCATGTAACAAACATGGAAATGTAACAGGGTAGACATCGTCTGGACTGCCCAGAGTTTACTTATTACAGAATGAAGATAAATAATATATTAGAAATATTCGGAAATATTTAAATTTTCATGTTATATTTTCCGGCATTTATCAAACATGGACAGGGTAGAGATCATGTTTGGACTGCACAAAGTTTTCTTATTACAGAACGAAGAAAAATATTATAATATTCAAAATATTTAATTTATTCATATTATTAGCTGGCGTGTAACAAACACTTAAGGTCAAAGAGATCATCCAAACTACCCAGAGTTTTTTAATAATAGAAAAAAGAGAAATTATTTATTTGATTTATTTAATTTTTTATTATGTATTACAAAACTTTTATACTTTCAATGTGTCTTATAATAGAAATGACCTAATAACCTAATATTCAAATGAAATTATATTTTGCTTCTGAAATGCTCTGTTTCAATAAGTTGCAAATACTATTTATTTATGGATCTATCACTGCCTGCAAAGAGGTAATCATAATTTCAAAGTAAATACAATACAATGGAGAGAAGAAAGGAAAATTACAGATTATATTACATTGAAATTAAAATTAAGTTTTAAATTTTATACTTTGGAATTGTGGACAAGTTTAAAGTTTATTTTTGAAAAGATGACTTTCTAGGCTAAAATTTAATCTAACAAACTGAGTAATTTTGAAGCAAAATCTTTTTATAAAATAAATCAATATTTTTTTATCTACTGATTGGCAAACAAAAAGCACTTTAATTTTGATATCAATTTTTTTGGTATAAAATTGAAAATTTCCTGTAAGTTGTTTTTGCCAGATTTTTTACACACATCGTTGAACAGAAGCAAAGTATAAAAATGATTTAGTTAGTCCAGATATATTTTGAAAATGTCATTTGTCATTATATGTGAAAATAATTTTCAATATTTTCATCGAATTTCATTATGCGAGTGAGGTGAACTTTCGGAAGTGGCAGAAAACGCAACTAGTGCCGCAAAAGTGGAGCAATCCAATATTTTCCGGGTGGAGGGTGCTGGGTGGCCACTGTGGATTTTCGCTCCATTCATATATTATATTCGGAGAGTTTGGAGAAACATTTATGCTTTTATCGGTTAGGGTTCGTCGGATGAATAAATATTGTCGGACAAAGTGTAAATAAATTATATAAAAGCCGAGCTAGCGGCCGAGTGAGGTCACTTGGTTGGACGCGTTACGGCATTCGTTCGTACGTGTTTGTTTATTATCGCGGCGATCCAACGATTATGCATCATCTCGGCTACTTTGTACTTGAAGCGCGTTGGCGGGCTGAATTCAGTGAATAAAACAAATTGTATGTACGAATGCACCTCCTTTAATGATGTGTCGATCGGAGATAGTGCGTGGTTGGCAATGAGAAATATACATGAAATACAAATACACGATTCCGAGCAGGCGATTCACATCATCAAATGGAATGACGAGAAACCAATATTGATCAAGTGAAGCAAATGACTATTTCTAAATTGTTTGCTCCGCGATACAGAAGAAGTTTGATATTATGAAACTTTTGTACGAACGATATTTGAGAAATTTTACAATCTTATGAATTTGAGCGAGAGTCAGATTCAATCGACGGGTCCTCGCTGAGCAAATTATTTTTCATTAAAATCAAAAAGGAAGTTTCAGTTACCCTGTGGAGCAAGAAAAAATATAAATTATTCAGAAAAATTAAAAATAACCTGAAATTTAACTTAAATTATAAGAAAACTCCAAATGAACATTAAATAAAGAAACATTTTCGAGCATAAATTTGTTTTTAAAATTATGGTTTATTATAAATTGGAGAGAAGATAAACAACATTTGTCCTAGTTGTAAAAATTTGCTTTTAATTTTTTAAGTTAGAATATTAATTAATTTTTTAGAATTTGAAAGAAAATTAATTTTATGTGACTTTTACAGCTAAAATTGAGATGAAAGTCTGATTTAAAGAAGTTTTTTTCTCACATATTTCCATATTAAAATTGCCTGATTATTACTTAAAATTTAAGTTTCAGACGAGGTTTAAAAAATCTTATGTCTTTTTTGCTTCAATTTTCTACCTCTTCTTAAAATTATTCTTATCTCATTTTATAAACATGAGACAATTCTATCCAAATGAAAGTTGAAAAATGAGACGATACCGAGAAGCTATTATAAAAAAACTGCTTCGCATGCAACCGTCAAGCTTTGTATTATTATTTTTTTTCACTTCCCACAAAAAAAAAATACAACTTGTCAATACACAAAAAAACATCGAAAACAAAGGCTGAGCAATTTGTATAATTTGCTCATTTTCTTAATAAGCATGCTTTCAAGGTCTCGGCTTAAACGAGCAGGTGATGACTTAATTACAGCTATTTTGGTCGCGTCAACACACCGACTTATATAAAAGTTACAAACGAATAAATTTGAATGAAATGCATCACCATTGAGCCAGTTCGTCCATTCATGCTCACGTAAAAGTTCAATACAACAATTTATTTATTAATTCCAGTAATTGCACCCACTCGCCGCGTGACTCCGCGCCAAGGCCGCCAATCTCGGTGCGTGTCACCCGCGTAGGTTTAACTCTTTTTTTTTTAGTTCGTTCGACTGGCGCGATAAAATAATTGATAATCGGCAGCTACAGCGACGCGGGAGAATGCATTCATTATATATTATGTATTTGAAATGCATCGATGCAGGTGAAGGCAAAGGTCGTCGAGGTAGGCAGTCGGTCGGTCGATTGTCATTATTATTATTGTATTGCGGCGGCCTTTCGGTGCGAATGCATGTAAAATTGTGCCGACGCACACATTATGTGCTGCACCGAGAGCGTGCAAGGTCACGTCGGGCATGCACAAGAAGTGCAGCTGCGGCCAGATTTATGGCGCGGCGCACATATATGTGGGCGAATTATGCCATTTTCTCGTATCGTGCTTAAGTGGCTGCGACAATAAAATGCAGATAAAATGTGTATAAATTTCAAACGCGCCGTGCATCGGTAATTATTATTAGGTGTGTAAAGCGGCGCCGTTCATCATTTCTGAATCAGCATCTCGCTCTGTGCTGTGGAAATAGAAACACTCACTTTGGTGCAGTCAGTACATGCAATTGTGTATCGGCGCAAATTTATGGCGGTGAAAAGTCACCGGTTCGAAGGGGAAAACGATCACGACTTGCCAGTTAAGATCTGATGAGAAAGATTAAGTACGCAGATTTGTTGCAGTGAACTAAAGTTTATAGTTGTAATTTTAATAAAATTTTAATATATAATTTAATTTTTAACAACATTTATTTTAAGCCCTTATTAGTATTTAATTATTAATGTTAAGCATTCTATTTTATTTTTTACATTTATAACAAATAGTTTAAAAAAATTTAAATTTAAAAATTTATGGTCACAATATTTTGTTCATATCTTTAGACCAGCAAAAATATCGGATTGATTTTATTTATTTATTTTAAATTTTTCTAAGTATAACGTTTTGAAATTTATTACATAACATTGTTAAAAATAATATTACAGGTTAGTCATTCTTAAAATCGGTGAAATTGTAAAATTTAATATATTCTAGCCATTAAAAATTAAATCTAAGCACAAAGCATAAAATTTCACATTTATTTCAAAAATCATATTTTTTACACCAGCCTTCTATTA